TCTACCTGTTTTTAAAAAATTTGTTTTATAAATATATATTATATTCCAGTTAAGCCAGTATTGTATAGCATATTTGAGGAGCGAGTTGATTCCTGGAATGTATGTTTTGCTTCCTTTCTGTGTTTTTCTGTTATTTTTTCATATTCTTTTGTCTTTTTTAATTATGTCATTGTTTTTTTCCTATTCTGCGAAGTTGTCATATCTAAATTTTAATCTTTTTTATAGTTCATTGAGTAAGCAATTATGGATAACTTTTATGAATTCTTTATGTTTATCTGATTGTGTATATTTTTTGATTGTATCAGTTAGGTCATTAGTTAATGCTTCTTTTGTTATATAGTTCTTGACTTTTTGGATCCACATTTGTTGTTGTTTATTTCTTTCATTTTTTATTTTTTGTTTGATTTTCTTTTTTGTTCTGCTGCCTATCTCTTTATTGATTATTTGTTTGAGTTTGGTGAAGATATTCTCTTTATGCTGTTTACAGTTCATTATGTATGTATTGGTTCATATCTTTTATTGAAATACTGTATATGCTTTCAGTATATGAGATATTACAGTAGTACTAACAATTAAATACTACTTCTAGTCTACTTTACTAGCTAATCCCTATTGAACTTTTTAAGGCATTGTCACATATATTCAAAAGTATTATATATATTGTCGTGGGCTAACCGGCGAGTCTGTCACCAAAGATAAGTAAACTTCGCGTAACGTGGGTTTAAACTCTTGAGGCGTGTCACGATTTGACCGATCTGGTTTTACTTCCTAACTTTACACCAAACATCCTATACTGGAATTCTTGTAGTTGCTAGAATTTTCCCAATCTTTCTAGCCGAACTCTGGTTTGTATAGTTACGTGAGCAAGGTATGGGCGTGAAAACAATCGATAGAAATAGTAAACACGAATGAGAGTTTAAATGCTTCGAGTTGGATTTTTCAGTGAATGCTACCTAAAGTCTACTTGGCTTTATTTCGTTCATTCGATAGTCATATTTATACATGCTAGTTTGTTTACATGCTAGTATTGTTTACATGCTAATCGCTTTGCGTCACACGATTACATAAGGCATTCTACTCTAATTTTCCCACCACTACTTTCCCACCGATTCTACCATAAACATATCATTTATGCGACACAACACGTACCGTGTCATTGTACCCCACTTTTTACCCATAATACCTCTCTTATTTTGGAGTTCAGAATTTTGAGATTACTTTTTTTAATTAAAAAGTGATGAGAAAGTTCTCTTGGGAGGTCTTTAGGGTTATCGAGTATAGCCTATGAATTATAGGTTCGCTCTTATTATTCGAAATATTAACTAAATAATATAATGGCAATTTTAAAGGATATAGATTTGGAATATATTAAGATTACATTTATAAATATTCTTAAATTAATTTACTAATGTGATAAAAGACAATAAGTTTTTGTTAGATGCTTTTATTTCTAATTAATTACAGTAGAATTTAATAATATACAAAATCGTAAGTTTAAAATTAGTACATCGGTTCTTATTAATATTGCATCCTAAGTGACCTTCTTTTATATACCATCAATACGATAACAATTCCATGTGATTATAGATATTTTATTCTTGGCATTCTTCTCGATCTTTCTTTTATGCCATAAAGAATGTGTGTCTAATATAGACTTCGTTTTTATTTAACATTATTCCTAATGCTATGGGTAATTTCGGCACAGGCATGTAACTCGATACTGTATCACGTTATGTCACTCTGCTGTCGCGATGTGTGAGAAAATTAAGGTGAGAAAATTATTTGGGAAATTTAGAGGTTAGAATTTTCAGAATAGCGTAGAAACGTAACAGATGCAAGCATGTAAACATAGGCGTATGCATAAATACGCGCGGCATTTAGTAGCTGTTAAGAAGAGATTATCGTATATCAGAAATGAACAATAAAGTACAGTCTGTGCTGTTACTTATTATTCCAATATTGATCCAATCGGTGATGTCAAAACTCAGAAAATAAACCTTACCTTGTTTTCAAGTGCGCCCGAAATAATTGTAACCCGTGTTACGTGACTAAGCGAGAAAACCGAGGTTTGCCTAAGGGAATTGGCATCATAAGACTCTATATTAGTCAATAGAGATTAAGGTAAGGCCGGCCAAATCGAGGACACGCCTCAAGAGTTAAAAAAAAAACTTACATTGTTGTTTTGTCGACGCGACAAATAGCAAGAATAATTGTACTAAGCATTGGCGACAGACTCAGCGGAAAGTCTACAATACTAAAAATAACTAATTGATTATTAAGTAATAGCAAGTTAAGAGTATACTCTTGATATGGTAATCTATTCTATAAAACATCTCTTGCCAAATTAATTTATCGAATTAACAATCAAGCCCAAAGTTTAAAATTTACTAATAATTAATTTGGAATAATAATTTAAATTAATTATTAGTTCAATAATATAATAACTGGAAAACCAAATTTGCAAGTACGTGCCTATTTAAAAATAATTCATAATCAAATCATCTAATCTGAAGAAAATCAAAGTTATTTTAAATTTTTTTAAAACATTTATTGAAACATTTTTTGCAATTTGTTTCTCTATAATTATTGTACGAATTCTTATATTTTGAGTAGGCTATAAATAGAGTAATTTGATATTAATTTTTAGAAAAAGTTTTAAATAATTAGTTACATTTACTTTTAATGTCATTGATGCTTTATAACAAAATTCTCAATTTAATTGATTCTAATTTACTGCAAATTATGCTAACATCAAGTTGTGACACTATTATTTTAAGAATTATAAGTCTTGCAGCCTACTAGTGTTCTAAAAGAGTCAGTTCAGGACAGGTTTGGATTAGATTTGGATAATACAGTGGGACAAAGTAATGACACTCTTTAGATGTGGTATTATTTAATAAATTATTAAACCAAGTAAAAATTTAAATATAAGATCAATGAACTAATTTCATCAAAAATTTTATTTATCAATTTATAATTTTTTTAAAAATTGTAATTTATATTTAAAAAATTGCTATTGTATTTTATATAAAGAAAAAGAAATTTTGATATAATTTATATTGATTTGCTTTTAATGTAAAAGATTTTTTTAGAAAATGACAATAATTTAAATCGATTAAATTATTTTTTATATCTAATAATTTTTAAATATAATTTTTTTTAAAAATATTATTAATAGATAGTAATAAAATTTTTAATAAAAATTATTTAGTGCTAGGTTTTTTGCCCCATACTGCATGTTATGAATTTTGATTGGTTATTATAAATGTTATTATGGCACAAGTAATTTTTTGTTAGATATTAAACATCATTATTCTTAAGTAATTTTTATGGTGATTAAGATCTAGTTTTTGAGACAATTTGATTCTAAATACATAATTTTTCTGTTATAAACCACAAGCTCCAATTTTCTAATAACCATATTAACGAAATTACAAATATATAGCAACAGATAAGTTTATTATTTAAAAATTAATATTTCCTAATTATTCATATTATTTTAAATTTTTCTCACTCATAATTTCTAACTTAACCTTGTTCCTTGACAATGAAACTACATAACGCGTTATAGTAATGTGTTTGCATCTCTGTTCACCTACCTTACAAAAAAACCAATCAAAATTACTACATCGAGATCATGAACTTTCGGTGAGCCAGAATCGTTATGAAAAAAATCGATCCAAAGATTTAGATACCAGAGCACAAAAAGACATTGTAAAGGTTTAAAAGAAAGAAAGAAAAAAACATAGGAGGCTGCAGAAGTGAGAAGAAAAAAGACGATTATGAGAGGTTCATCTTATATTATCTTTTTTTTTCTTTCGAGTTTTTTCCCTTGATATTTTTATTAAATGCAGTTGTTTCTTTAGTGCATTAAAAAAGTCTATGAATATTTTAATATATTGACAGGTACCAAATATTTTGATAGATTATCTTACAAAAGAAGCTCAAGAGACATACTAATTGATCTTAACATTTGCTTATCAAAACTTCAGTAATCAAGCCAAAGATGTAATTCAAGGTGCTGCAGGCGACATTCTGCAAATTTTAAACCATGATTTATTCAAGGATTTTGACAAGAAAAGAGAGATTGAACGGTCATTGAACCATTGCACCAGATAGATTTGGGCAGCTAGTAAATTTTGCAAAAAAATTAACAGATTATCATCCTGGGAATACCATTAATGATAGGGAATTTTAGGCGAGATTGTTGATAAACTTGGGAGTTTCTGTAATACTTGATGAAACGAAGAAGAAAAGAAAATTGAAAAATACGAAGTTGAGTACGAGGAAGAAGAGAGTTTTATTCAGATGAAGAAAACGAAGGGTTCCGAACTGTTATTATTCTAGATACTGCAAAATCAAAGTTCACTGGTGCACAAGCTTTACAAAAAATATCTGCATAATATTAATGTCTTCTGACTTTAGCATCTCAAATCACTATCCGGATCCACGCACCGCACAAGAAAAGATGACGAATACCATGCAAAATACTTACAGAAATACTCGTGACTGCGAAATCGAATTAATAAATATTTTTAATTGATAATTTGATCAGGTCAAGATATTGAAAAGAAATAATGGATTAATTTTATGGCGTACAAACTTGCCGAAGCTGGAACAGACAACGCTAGGCGACAGGGTATTGAATTTGAGATTTACGAGCAAGGTTTAGAATGGATTTTTAAAGAACTTAAGAAGAGAGAATTTATCGTGGTGAAGGTGTCACTCAGAAAGGTATGGTTGAGAACGCAATGGAAACATATGATAAACTTGTGTCAGCACATTGTCTAATTTATGCTTCTGCCAAGGCTATTTTCCTACGGCAATACTTAAAGCTGTAATTGATCTCAAATCACCAATTTTTTTACACGACGTAGAATTTAATGTCTAGCAAAAGTGCAAGCTGCCGGATGGATCTTATAAGATTTCTAAGATATTGAAGAGGAATTATGAAAAGGTAATGGTCATGATGTATTACTATGTTCATTTAAGAAAATATCATGACCGAAGTCAAAAAAAATACTAGAAGCGAGAAACCTAGATATTATTTGCCAATAAATAGCTCATTGGATATATCGTGAAGAACCGAGTTATCATAATATCCAAATATTTACTGCACACACTTTCTGCCGTTGGCGGATGAGGAGTGTCAGTATGGCTGGTCTAGAATCTAAAATAATTGAAGAACAAAATAATCTTGTATACGAAGTAAGTTCACTTCTTGATCAAATTCTTGCTTATAATTTGCCTAGCATATGGGTTTATTAATATATTGTATCAAAGTAATTGTGCTCAAAATATTGGGAATAAATATTTGTATAACTTATTCTTTATCTTTTGCTCTTTATTTACTTATAAAATTTTATACATGGTAATAATTATATATAAATTTTAAACTATAATGAAGTTTAGCTTTAGATTTAATAATTTTTGGGATTCTTAAATTGGTATTACCAATTATTGAATCATTCTGCCATCATTGTCACTATTGTTACCGATGCGCTTTAATGTCACGTTCTTGAAATGACCGATCGAACGTATATCCTCGGTTCATTTTTTTTAAAATACAGATTACCGGGTCAAACCCAGTTTTAACCTAATCCGATTTTGACCCGACTCACTCAAAACACTAAGGCTACAGATTCTTTAAAATAATCTCCAATTGTTTATTAGTTATCCTATAATCTAACAATTATATGACAAATACCGTATAAACGCGAAATAACGCGCATGTACGTTATTTCAAGATAAAGGATCAAATTTTTAGACCTATTACATTAACATCTGGTGAAATAGATCTTAAATATTTGATAGAAACAAGTTATGATTATGAAACTGATGAAGAGAATGATTTTGAAAATTAAAAATAGGAATTAGAAAAGGAATTTTTTTATATTGAATAATATATTTTATTATATAATAAAGTTTCAAACAGTTTTGCCAATTGGTATGTTTTATATATAAATGCGCGTTATTTCAAATACGCCCTGGGCATTATATTACAATGAAAGTTTATTTTTTTAAGAGCTATTTTTAAAATAACGCCCATGGGTGTTATTTCACGCCTATACGATATGCATAGTATTATTATGATTTAGAAATTTTTACTATTGTATTGCTGAAGTGTTAAATACAAATTTGATTTAAAGCATTCAAAGTATTATGAAAGAAAAATTTCAAAATTATTGTTGTTGGAAATTATACAGTATGAATATTTTTGATTGCTCTTGAGATACATAAGAGAAATAGAAAAAAATTATTCTTGATAATTCTATATGGTTTATTTTTTACAGTATATATTTGTTTTCTTTTGCGACAAAAAGTTTTTATAATAATAAATAATTAAAAAAAAGGTTTCACGATAAAAATATTTGATAAAAAAAAATAATTAAAAAAGGTTAACCATTAATAATAAACAATGGAATTAAGAGTGTATATTATTCTGTTTTATTTAATTAAAAAGAATAAATATAAAAAAAAAGCAAGAAAAAGAACATATCAATAAAAATATACATAAAAATTTTATTAAATAAATTATTAATATAATTTATATCATTTAATTTGAACCATTTTATATTTCCTTTTAAAAATGTGTTATATAGAGAAATGACAACTGTAGAGCTTTAAATAATAATGATAAAGGACTTATCAATAAAAAGCTGATAATAAAAAATTAAAAGAGAATTAAATCAAAGGCATTAACAAAATCAATCAAATATCCTAACTTATTTAATTATTATATGAATACAGGTTTAAAAAAGTATTAACTTGTTAAATTTCAACTCCAAAAATTTAACAATATATTAATTTATATATCATGTAGCAAAAAAATATAATCAAAATTGGTAAAAATAATTATAATGCTAAAATTCAATAATTTATGTTTAAAGAATATAATTAACAAGTCCGTTCTTATATTATAATTACTAATTATATAATACTAAAATAGATAATTGAATCTGATATAAAATAAAAGGTATATATAAAATAATTTATAGTGTAATAAAAATAAAGAGATAATTTAAATTTTTATTATTAATAAAAGATACATTTAAGTTCAAGATTTTAAAAACTATCTTTAGAATTTTTAATTTATGATATTTAATTCAAATTTATTTTAATTATATTTATATTAATAAATAAATAATTATTATATTGTTTTAAAAAAATATAATTAATCTATAACTTTTATGCTAAGCAATTTCAAAATTAATCTTTATTTTAATTATAAATTATATCTTATTATTGTTCATTATTAATTAAATATTGTTATTACAGGTTAATGCTTCATAATACCCTAGTTAAAATTGATTATATAACATTGTTACATTTTGATTATCTTATTGTTAGTTTCTACAATATAAATATCATGTTTTTTTATAGTTGAGAATAAATAATCAATTGGAGTCAATTTTAGTTTATTAGTTGAGGTTTAGATTTTTAGAATATTTTTGACTCCTTTTTTCTTTATTAATTAAATGCTATAACTTTATACAATAACATGTGCATGTTATAAATAATAGATCAATACCTTCATTACTGTAGTAAAAGCCTTTAAAGAAAAAACCCGGTTATCTTTTGTATTGTGTAAGAGTAACACTTGTGATTTCGAGGTGTACTTAAAAAGAATGGTTATGAAGAGATTAGCAAGCAAAAGAATTGGTCAGATCATAACCCATCTCAAAGATAAAGAATATCTTATATAGTGCCAAATCTAAATATTTGAATTATTATTATCTAAAGTATGAACTGTTTTAGTGACAGATTTACCAGTAATAACATTATTTATATTTTAACAAATATTTCAATTTGCAAAAATTTCGATTATTTCATCGATTCCATAATATTCTAATTGAATCATAGTATTATCTGTACTATTCATTAACTTTATTACACTTTAATATTCGTTAATAACAAAGTAATTTGATGAATTTAAGTTAAATTATATAAGTTATGTAATAATTTAATTATAACTATCATTAAATTTACTTTTAATTATTTGTTATTATCGAACTTAAATTTTTTAACAATTTTAATAAAAATATCACTGAAATATGATACCTAGAATAATCAAAATATCGACCTAACGTTTCTACCAATCACATTATATAAAAATGGTATATTTTTATTATTTAAAAATAAATTATTTGAATTATTATAAAAAATATAAAATTTTTATTTGTTTTCGAACACATTTATAAGCAAAATTTTTTTAAAAATAAATTTTTATTATAGACCGTAGACACTACTATATATCTTTTGTAAACTTTTTTTTATAAAGAAGCTCAAAATTTTGTATTGTGCGAAAATATTCGAAATATTAACATTATAGTATTTAAGGTTCAAAAATATTTGTTTGTGTTAGTAAAATTAGAAATGTTTAACAAGAGACCTTCAAAAATATTTGTTTGTGTTAGTAAAATTAGAAATGTTTAACAAGAGACCTTCAAAAATAGCTTCACTATCAAATGTAATATAAATTAAAAAAACAACGATCATGTATTACTTTATTCAACACTAGATACAGTATACCGTAAAGTTTGACAAGGAAATATAACAAGAACTTATTGATTTCTATTGGTGCTATTATTAGTAATTTTAAAGAGAAGCATTACAGGCGCGATCGTCAAACAAAGGAGTTGGCTTATGTCATATGCTATGTGATTGGAAGTCTGCATAGTGAAGCCCAAATATCTACATCTCATTCAGCCTTTTACTTTTTCAGTATGGATGTTTTTTTGTGAGTCAATAGAATTTACATTTTGGAAGTAATCACAAGACTCGGGCATCTGGAGAAACACAGACAAATGCATCCATCTTGTAAAATATCTTTTAATAAAAACAAAAGGGGCGAGATTTATTTAGCATCCTGCGCGTTGATAGTTTCTGGTCTGAGAAATTTGTAATGTGTTTTATGTGTCCAACCAATAACACAGTATTTAGAATAAACCCGCGGGATACGTCACTGGGAAAGGGCTAGTGCGTCTTCTCAAAAATATTTAATAGATCTCTTCATTACAGTATTATTAAATTTTTATGTAAATTATTACAATAGAAGAACATTAAAGCCATCTGACCGAGCTGGAGTAGTTCATTAAAATTTTTTTAATATTAGCCTGTTTATTATTTAATGAATAAAAAAAAGCATAACATAAAATAGCACAGAGGGAATTCAGAGCTAAATTTTCGCCAATGAGACGAGGAAAAAAATGCCGTTAATAAAAGAGTCGGAATTATAATTTAAAATGACCATTTCATTAGCATTTCTCTTTATAATGACTTTATACAAAGCTCAATGTCATTAAATGTATTGAAAAGAGTTCCGAAATGCAACTGCTAACTGTTAAATCACGGAATCAACCTTAAAATAAAAGATTTTCATTAAATAACGAAACAGAGAACCTTATCTTATGGCTTCTCATAATAACAAACTAAAGAAGCAAACATAACAAAGTAAAAAGCTAATCCAGAAAAATTATTAGTGTTTAAACGCGAATTT